GAGGGCGGCGAGCAGGGGCAGTTCGCCAGGGTGGGGGAAGAAGTGTCTGTAATAATTTCATTGTAACTTTGACACCTAGGCGTGGGCAGCCTTGTGCCTGTCATTTTCCCCTCAATTCAGCCACCTAACAAGTATTAAACTAAGTTTTCAAGACACTTGATTCTTATTATAAAGCCTTTGCTGGCTTTATGTTGCACCCTTACCTGCAATAGCTATAGCTTACAATGGACTTTTTTTTGAGCCACTGTAAAATCATAGAATGGTTTGGATTGGAAGGGACCTTAAAGATCATCTAGTTCCAACCCCCCTGCCATCAGCAGGGACACCTTCCACTAGACCAGGCTAATCAAAGCCTCATCCAGCCTGGCCTTAAACACTTCCAGGGAGGAGCATCCATAACTTCTCTTGGCAACTTGTTCCAGTGTCTCGTCCCCCTCACAGGAAAGGACTTCTTCCGAATATCTCACCTAAATCTAACCTCTTCCAGTTTAAAGCTATTTCCCCTTGTTCTATCACTACCTGCCTGGGTAAAAAGTCACTCCCCAGACTTCCTGTAGGTACTGGAAGATACTGCCTTCAGGTAGTGGAAGGCCGCTATAAGATCTCCTCTAAGCCTTCTCTTCTCCAGGCTGAACAGCCCCAACTCTCTGTCTGTCCTCATAGGAGAGGTGCTCCAGCCCTCTGATCATCCTCTCTGCTCAACTTCTGCAGTTTGTTTTAAGCCAGCTTTAGGTTTCTTTTCATACTTCCTACTTGATGTTTTCACACACAGCAAGTGGAAAATTCATGCCCTGGTAAACGTCTGTATCCAATGAGGTAACTGAAAGGCTTCCATCCTATCCTACTCAGTTACAGCGCTTTCAGGCTGACAAACCCTAGAATACATGGGCATTCCAATATGATCCTTTCTGACATTGGAAGTAGGGCAATAGAGGCCCGGACTACTTTGAGTGTTCAAATGTGGATGCACTGTTGTTTTATACATTGGTGCAATGATGTTTTCTGCTCCATTCTGATGAAAAAGCAAAATGTTTGCAGGTAGAATTTGAAGATGCTCTTCTAGAAGACATAGTCTTCCCTAGCCATAGTCTTGGGAAGGAGCAAAAATGCTGCAACAAATAAGTAGTGAGGGAGAGTAAATGACTGAAAATTCAGCATATATAAATGTACAGGGATGCACAAAAATACTGATCTATCCTAGCTGAAGTCAATTATGGGCTTTGCAGTAACTGTTACTACTTGGGCATTTTGGACAATTTCAGCTAGCTCTGCAAGAGCATGGACTCGGTGGTCAGTAGCAATCTAAACAGTAAATATGATGCTAGTTCCAGGGTGTACCATGTTTGAGCAATGTGGACATTTTCAATCCCTTTGTCCTTGATCTCTAAAGGTTGTAACAGAATGGGAAGTACAAAGGAAGTACAAGGTTGGCCAGCTGGTATGGAACAGCTCCCAGAGAATCATCTTGGGTTTTTTAGCAACCTCTCTCTCAGAAAAAATGAAGAGAAGACACAGGTCTCTAAATTAATGGGTGGCATAGAGATACCAATCTCTTCTTCTCTTTGAAAGCAGAAGGTAAGGGATACCAAATGAAACCATCAAGGGGTAGGTTCAAAGAAAGAAAAGGAGGCAGTTTTTTCACACATCAAATAGTTAAGCTGAGAAACTTCTTGCCTTGGGAAGTTACATACCAGAACTTTGCATCAAGTCCATTTACTTACAAATTAACATAAGAAAACAAAATTATAGGCTAATAGGTAAATGAATGATCTGTGGCTCAGGAAGTCCTTGAAGTGCAAATTCTGATTCCACACTCTACAGGCCCTCATCTCACAGCCCCATATGATGGATTATGGCTCCTCGACAGGTACAACAGACGGACTCAACGGCGGGGCAAAGGCCAAACTTTGCATTTGAGAGATTGCTCTTCACTGGGTGCTGGAACTATTTGGAATACCACAGATCCCTCTAATGTGAAAATTCTGCTGTGTAAAATGCAGAACTTTCTGTAGCTGCAAACTATTCTTTACACACAATATTTTCTGAACTGTTCTGATCTAAGGTCAGCATGACAATAACACGCATCCCCTACCTGGGGGAAAAAACCCTCACCATAATATCAAGATACAAACATGTCTCAAAGACCAATGTATGGAAGTAATAAATATGAACATTTAAGAAAACATGCATCAATAGGTTTAAAATTTTTTTATTGTGCTGCCAAGAGCCAAATTACAAGAAACCGCCTTACAGTTAGAAAAGTAAACAAGCAATCTG